TTCTCACTATACATTACCTAGAGTGGTGTCTATGTGCAGACCGGAGGGTCTTATGTGTTATGTTTATGTTGGAGTTTATGTGCATTGTGTTATATGTATGCTAAATATTATATAGAACGGACCGAAGGGTCCAACGATTTAGACCGGACCGAAGGGTCCAACGATTTAGACCGGACCGGAGGGTCCAACGAGCTACGGGACTCGAGGGTCCCACTGAGACACATTGACCGGAGGGTCATATCGAGTTATAGCCTCGAATGGCTTATGTGTTGTATGTGGTATTTTGGGGGAACTCACTAAGCGTTTATGCTTACCGTGTTATGTGATATGTGTTTCAGGTACCAGCGAGGATCGCGGGAAGGCGCCGACATGATTTGTACACACTGGCAGAGGATTATGATAACATTTGACACATGAGATCTTGAGAATATTATATGAGTTATATCATGTATGAAAAATGAAAAATTGTTTTAAAATTTACGTCGTTACAACATTCATCCCTAATACAACTGTGAACAGTCCTGGCTTAACCGGGATGTCAGGTTTTCCCAATCATCTTCTTTGATTTGTTATTATGTTCATTTTTCTAAGTCGTACAAGCAAGAGTGTTTATTAGTATATTTTATTTGTTTTGTTCAGAGTTATTTAGTCCCTTGTTGGGTTTATAGTTGCATATCAATGTGTGGTTAGATATGCCAGTTCACTATAAACAGAGCTCTGATACCAACCTGTCACACCCCCGAAACAGACGGCGGAAACGTCCGAGGGCTCGCGTGACCTAAATTGAAATATCATCACAATGAATATATAATGAAACATAACATAAACATCATCATGCATTAATACATTACAACTGGCCTTGTTCACATCAAGTACATTGTCTAAATATTACATATCCATAGCATAAATTGTTTGAGAGTTTTCAAAACATAACATCCTAACACACTTGGTATTGTTCTTTAGCTTATCTGTTACCTGAGAATACAAGTTATTTTGAAAACGGTCAACATATATAATGTTGGTGAGTTCATAAGCAAGTTTGATATGAAAATGCTTTGTATTGTTTGTAAAACCCAGAAAATCCGATATTTTCTGAAACGGCAATTGTTGATACAAAAGGTGTGATGATCCATAAGTATATGCGTGAATGATTTCAAAACGCGTAAAAATGATATGTTTCCCCATCATAAATTCTTGCATTATAGTTACTGAAAGTACAAGTGGATAATGGTGTTTCCCCGGGAAACTCGATGTCTTCCGATAAAATAGTATGATTGTTTTGTATTATTGTATCGTCACAAGGAATGAATATGATTTCCCATGATTACTTAGATGGTATTGGATCTCTATGTGAGTCGTTATAACCATGCATGATAATAACTAGTTCGCCTGTCTTGGCATTCTAGCGAACGCCAGAATTGAGCTTAAGATTTTGTCACCCTAGACTGGCCGAGTCTAACTGTAGCGAACAGTTTAGGTGTGGGGGAGTCACCCCCGTATAGATCTATACACAAACTCTCGCTCTCCCTCCAGGAGACTTTGATTATAACTACAGACTACGACCGACACTTATTGGTGTCGCCCGTTATTACTCACTTAATCCAAATGAATTTGAATAACCTTGATTAACTACCTGATTTTTGTTTACTTGAATAGAAGATAAGCCTAACAGACGAAGAGAAGAGGACTACGAGGCCCTACTAATCACGTATGTTATTTAAGGCTGTCGAGTATACGAATGACGCGTTAGCCCATTTCGCATATGATTTATTTGGACCTTACTAGCAATGCTAATGGGCCACTGAGGCCTAATAGCATGTAAAAGCCATTGAGGGTTCTTTAGGCATGTAATTGGGTCACATGAGGCCCAATAAACATGTATTATTTATGTTAGGCCCAAAAGTCATGTTAATGGGTCACAAAGGCCCATTAAGCAAGATTAGAATTATTTAAGTCCAACCATTTGAATGTTTACTTGTTTTGTATAGTATTAGTGTTGCGAAGTTGTTTAATCGATAAGTCGTAATAATCACCAAATTGTTTTATAACGATTCATAGATTTATAAAAATATATACTTTTCTATTTAAATCCATAAGTTATAAAATTTTGTATAATTTGACCCAGTTATTTTAACATAATTGACCAAATATATTAGTTTGACGAATTCAGCCCCTTATTTTGGTAAAGTTGGCAATTGTAGTCTTTTTTATGAAAAAAATGGCATATTAGATCCTTGAACTATTTGTCTTGACATTTTTGACCCAAACACTTATTTAAATAATGTTTTAAGCCCAAAATTTAATTTTGGACAGTTTCAACCCCTTAGTTAAAAGATTTGCATTTAAATCCCCACTTTTGTCAATTTTTACAAATTTGACCCAAAATCCAAAATCTTTGCGTTTTTAGTCCCTTTTGATAAATAAGGCCATTTTAACCCCTGAAATAGGTTCATTTACGTTTATAGCCCCTGTTTTGAGAAAACTTTCCATTTCAGCCCCCTTAAATTTGATTTTTCGCATATTTGGGCCTAAATAGCCGAAAAGCCCAAATTTTAGCCCATTAGGTTAAAACTTACATTTTTAGTCCTTTAAAAAGCATAACATTTATAAAAACTCTTATTTTAGCTGTTTTGACCTTTTGAAAATGACACTTAAGCCCACAAAAGCCCAAAAAAGTTACAATGTTGGCCCAAGGCCTAATTACGAAAATTTTTACATTTTTAGTCCTGGCAGGGTCTCAAATGCCGTAACTAACCTTGTTTAGCAAAAATAATCCTTTTTGACCCCTACTAACCGTGAGTTACATAAATATACCCATTTTTGGTCATTTTGTCACTTTTGGCCCTCTTATGCAATTTTTCTTGGTTTTAAGTAACTTGTATGTATTTTAAAACCATTTCCTTGTAAGATAAGTTGAAATGAGTGTTATGTTCTACAAATAGCATCATATTTTAGTAGATCTTTAAGTTCATGGAGTTCATGACACATAATCACATATATAACATGAAAAACACACAAAATCATGCATACACACATAGATCTACACAAAACAACTTGTATTCTCCCCTAAAACATAGTAAAACCCAAAAATAGGGGGTATGAACTCACTTTGGTTGTTGTTTTCAGTCTTTGATGAAGGTTGAGAAGGATCTCGGCCCTAAAAGTCTTCTTGACAGGAGATCTTCGAATTCTAAGAAGTTTTAAGAGCATGATCATGAAAACATGTGCTCATGAGGATGGATCTATCATAAAATGAAATAAATCACTTTGAGTTTACATGATCTTACCTAAGTATGAAGCATGAAGAGATTTTCCTTGAGACACACACAAGTACACACGAATTCTAGGAAGAATAGAGGAGGTTTGTTTGAGTGTTCTTAGAGAAAAATGTTTGAGTGGGTTTGAGAGTAAAATGAAGGTGGTGGTGGGTTGTTTGGGCCGAGAATAAGAAGAAGAGGGAGGGAAGAGAGATATGACAAGATTGTTGCATGGAAACATGAGATTTCCAAGAGACATGGTGTATAATTTGCTTAGTTATCCATTAAACAATAATTAGGTGGCACTCCCTAAAATCCCATATTATTATTATTATTATTTTTAAAGTTGGGCCGAGAATGAGAGGGGAAGAGAAGAGAAGAGGAGTTTGGGCCTTTTTCTTGATTAGGTTAGAAATTATGAGGCCTATAATGAAGGTTCTCGGCCCATTGGGCCCTTCTTGAGGGTTCACGGCCCAAAGGTTGTAAAGGGATGGGGTTTACGGCCCAATCACCATGAGAAGATGGGTTTACGGCCCATCATAGTTCAATAGGGTGGTTCACGGCCCATAAAGGCCCATGAGAATAAGTGAGTTATTTTAGGCCCAACATGGCCCAATTGCTATGGTTTGACGAATGTGGGCCCAACTAGAGCCCAAATGGGTTTCATTGGCCCAAAATCATCAAATAGAAGGTTTACTGGCCCATTAGGCCCAATAAGAGGATCCTAGTCCATACTAAATTCGAACCGGGATATTTAGGGTTTCAGTCCCATAGTTAAGTTTATGAGATGCATTGTATTACGTTTTGAACTTTACTCAGGAGTTTTGTTTCAAATGGATGATTTTGATTGAGCATAGAGTTTGATATCCACTTAGATTACAAGTCTTACAATAGTTGATGTTTACATTAGGACATAATTTCCTAACTAAAAATGATAGTTGTGACATGGATCCAGTATGCAAGGTTGCTGGATTTCAAGAAAGGCTAATATCATAATATTTCCTTTTTGCAATAGGTCATCAGGACACGATATCCAAAGGTGGTAGAGCTTCTTCTTATAAAGGTATTTTCTATTACCTTATATCGACCCAATCTCACCTAAGTACATTTTAATCATCCCAAAAGTTCTATTACTTTTGGGTTTTGTCCGTTTAGTACTAATAAAAGTGATAATAACATTCTTTGGACACTTTATGAACATTATTTTTTTCAAATGAGAAATAAATACCGAATTTTAAATTGTAGTATTGGTAATAATTCTACTTCATTCATGCTTTGTACTTGAAAACTGTTTGTGATGGACGATAGATTGTACTTGAAAACTATATGTATTACCACCAAAATACTCTATTTTATGCGTATGTTTGCTTTTATTATTAATACCTCAAAAGAACATATTATATCACAAAATTTTGTGTTTACACTCCCGTCACAACGCGCGGCTTAAAAACCTCGTTTTATAATAGAAACAAATAAAGATTATGAAAATCATATTTCATACATTTTCACCATTATACTTTTATAATCTTTCACAATTTCTATAATTTTTTCGTATTTTAGTATGAATTTTTATAGTTGCCACATTTTAGCAATATACTTTGATTTACTAAGTTGTCAACCCATATAATACACTTGTTTCTAACCTAATAAACTTATAAACAAAAAATAAATTTGTTTTCATGGTCGTATTAACACTTTAAGATCTGAAGGATTTATTTCAAATGATATGGAATACATATTAGTCCAGCGTTTATGCATTCTAATACATGCATATAGTCACACACTAGATATTAGATCCTACTTAACACATATATGTGTTTTAATATTACGCGAGAGACCATTCATTCCAAAGCACAGATTTAAGCTCAGCAATGTGGTTTGCGGGCAACGTTATACTAATTGTCATCCCATCAGATATATCTTTTCGTGCTGGAAAAACCAGCACGACACCTTCCTCTCCAACACCATCAATAGCACAGTTTACATAAACAGGTGTATTTCCTTTTATATCGAGCTCATAAAGTGGGGCATCACTTAGGTCAATAAAAGTCAAATTTGCTCCATATATTAGAAAGTCTGGTAATTCATTATCAGGTTTCATTGCATCGTCAATATTATTTCTCTCATCCACGCCTTGGTTCAATATGAGCATCCCGAGTTCCATTAGAGAGGATTCTTTAATGGAAATGTTTGTTTTAACCACTTTTATCGACTGCGCTTTGTTTGTCATAACCCCTTCGAATGAAATTTTTGAGTCTCTCTTACATATAGTCACCATGTTCACTTCAGATTCATGTTTAACATTCGCAACACATTGCCAAATAATAGTGCAAATCAACTCGAAGGGGGGAAACTTTTGATGGTCTTTACCTCCACATAGCTTTGTTTGCAAACGGATAAATTCAGGAGAAGAAATATAAAAAGAATATGTTTCAAGCTTTGTGTTATCTGGCGTGGTCCAATGATCACCCACTGGCCCTACCCGTTTTACAGCAAGCAGATCCGTTGTTGGGCTTTTGGGATTACGGTTCTCCTTCATTGAATGTTCCATGCGTAATGGTTGGGTTGGGAAATGACGCTTGGTGATTTGGCCCCATATGTTCGTATAGCTTACAGCAGAAAAAACATCTCCAAGTATATGTGCCCAACTTAACCCAACAGATATCCCTCCACATTTAAACTTGGTTAACTGCATCATATCAAATACGGTTATATGTGTATTTATATAACAATCTTTTAAATTCTTATAGTTTATATAAAAACTAGTTTTTTTATTTACAGTATTTAATATGCAAGCTTTGTCCGAGTTTTGGACCAAAATATGCAACTTAGAAACCGGCGGTTTGTCACTTTATTATGTGGCACGACTTAAATTCTTTATGTAACAATGCTTAGCATTTTCTTAATATATAGATCATAATAGTTTATTCATAAACCCATTTATGCAACAATATTATATCTACCCTTCACCAATTTATTGAACTAGTTATATTGTTTCTGATATTAATTAAATTTCTAGATCATAAAATGAAATGCCATTCCACATTTTCTATAAACACCTCTACACTTTTAGAAACAGTTATAAAAGATTTTTTTATAATAACATTTGAAAGGACCACATTTGGGTGCTTGACGCTGCCCAAAGATGTGACATGAATTGAAACCTTTTTTTTTAATTAAAATTTCAATAATATTACGTTAATTTCAGAGTATTTCGTTCGATAAATTAAGTTAATGACAAATGGTATTATAGAGAAAAAATGTAGGTTCACTACAGGAGATGCTCTTGACGTTTCACTCTTTTGCCTCTGGATTCATGACATTACTTTTTATTTGGTTAGAATCTAAAGTTTTGATCAAATCTGTCTCTAACATTTTGCTTTGCTGTTTCTATATATGTCTTGTTATTTAAATCTTCATGAATAGCTAGGTATTATCTTTTCCTTTTGAGGATGAATGTTTAGTTTTGTTTGAGACATATATGAAGTTATAAGTATTTTAAACATACATTAGATTTGTAGGTTAAAAAAATATATAAGACTCTGTGGATACATGCATGTACGAGAATGTAAAGCCGCACGACTAGGCGCTATCAGTTTTATTCAGTTTACTGCTGGTTCGTTATTTTAGTTCATTAGAATTAATTTTGGTTTTTGAAGTTTTATTTTTGTTAACTTTTGATGGTTAATCCCTTAATTCTATATATTTATTACCATATACGAGTGAATTATCAAATTTATTGTGTGTATTATACAGTACGGTTTTTAGTTACTTTTAGTATCATTAAAATTATTATTTATATTATAATATATGATACGTGTTAAAACATAACAAACTAGATATATAATACCTTAGAATTGTAGGTTATATATCGAACGCTTTTAATTACATCAAGGTATAGGTACCTTGACGATGAATTTTCTTTATAACCTCATATATCTTTTATCAGACATTTGAATATATGTATTTATAACGGTTTACATATGTAATAGACATGGAAAATGTGTTTATCATGCAAAGATAACAAACGTAAGAGACACGCCATGCTAAGTGCTAAATTTTAAATTATTAACGAGCTGACGAGACATGTCACTAGTCGTTTTGAAACATAAAACGTAGTGTAGCTGTTGAAGTTGAGATTTTCTAAAGATGATAGAGTCCTGTTTATACTTATCATGTAGTAAACTACTAAACATGCATTAACAGATAAATAATACCAACCTAATCTTATCTATTGATTAACTGGCTTTTCAAAAATATTGTAAAGATCAAGAAACAAACCTGCAATAAAACTAGTGGAGAGAAAAGCAAGTCGGGACCAAGGACTTGGTTAGAAACAAGAAGCTTGTGTCTCGAGTCATCTTTTGACTCGAGCCACTCATCGAGAGTCAGTTTGCACCGAGCCTCAATGAACCGCACCCCACAGTCGTTGCACTTGATGTAGGGCCGACCTGAATCATCCCTCCTGAGCCGGCCACAAGCGATATACCCATAGTTCAACCAGTAGAACATAGGCTCCTTAATATCCATGATAGCTAACCCTTCAAACACTTCGCTTCTGAAATAGTAAACGTTTCGGATGTAGTGAAGCTTCATGGCTAAGTCCATGCCATTTAGTTCTTGAGCTGCACCTTGGCCAGTTATGTATCCCGGTCCAATCGATGAGAACTTAATGTCACAGACAGGGCTTTCGTCTTTAGAGAATACCATTGTCTATTTTGATGATAGAGAGAAGGAGAAGAGAGAAGTTTCAACGAGGAGTTTGATTAAATGGTTGTCTATAAATAGACCAAAACTAAACTCCTATGTGTATTTTTTTCTTAAGTTTACAAGGTTATGGTTAATATGAAAAAAATAAAGATACGATTAAGATAGTACAAAATAACTCATCTCTAACATACATCTAAAACGTTTTTTTTTTCTAAGACACCTATGTTTATTTGATGCGCATGCTAAAAACAATCATGCTTCATATCATAAACATTGTAAATGCTCAATGATTCGAATTAAGTCAAAAAAAAAAAATCATCAAACTATTAAAGGTACATGGATAAAAGATAACATTCCGGTGTCAAATACTTAATTGCATTATAATATCTTATTTTGTGTCAAATACTTAATTGCTTTATAATATCTTGGGTAAATTACACGAATGGTCCATATGGTTTGGGGGAACTTGCACGCTTAGTCCATGGGCATGATTTTTAACTCGAAAGGTCCCTAGTATTTATTTTTGTTGCGTCTATGGTCCCTAGTAAACATAAAAAGACAAAATTGCCCTCACCTATTTGCTTTTTAATTAAATTGTTATTTAGGTATTAAAATGGGCCCACCCATATCCCTTCTTCATTAAGAAATGCTTGATTCATTCTCTCTCAGTTATGTTCTCGGTGAATGAGAGCACTAATCTTCTTCGATCTGTTCCTCACACCCTTGTCGGAGTCCATCAACACAACCACTCTTCCGCTCACCACTCTAAAACCTCGTTCTATCCTCCTACATTGTCTAAATCAATCCCTCCCTATCTGATATGAATCCATCATCTCACCGATTTTTTTTTCTAAAATCCCATGTCACTGCCTCCCGTTCCTTTTCACTCGCCAGAAACCTGCAAATTTGATTTTGATGGGTTGGGTGGTAGCATAGTATAAAGAAAAGAAAAGGAGATATAGAGAATCAAAATCGGTTACGGAAAGGTAGGTCAATTTTTGATATGTGGGCTTGAAAAATTAAACCCACTCTAAATTGATTTCTAAAATCGACCACCGTTTTGGTTGCTTGGAAATTTGGTGTTTCTAAAATCGACCATCGTTCCTCATTCCTCCTCTGAATTTGATTATAGGCTTTGTTTGACTCTATTTGATTATTGGGTTGTTTGACTATGATTGAAATCAACTGATCCTTTGCTGAAAAAAAAATTAAAGCATAAAAGATTGAAATCGTGTGTATGATTCTTGGTTTGTTTGATTAAGTAATTATGAACTTGGTTTAGGATTGTAAATTAAGAACTCACTTCTCGTCTCATCTAGTCTCAAACAGTGTATTCCGTGTGTGGCGTTTCTGGAACGGAGGGCGGAGACGTGTATGGTGTTTTGGAACGGAGAAATCAATGAAGGTTGGTGGTGCAATGGTCGTCGGAGTACATTGTGACGTTTATAGAACAGAGAAGGAAGGGGTTAAGAATCAGGGGATCGTTGGCAGCATAAAGAACTAGGGCACAATTGAAGAAGAATAGAGGAAGACTGTGAAAGAGGGGTGGGCCCTGTTATTTATTTATTTATTTATTTTTTTTTTTTAAGATTTAATTAAAAAAAGTTATATACTAATAATAAAATTAATTCACAAAGAAATGAATAAGGGTATAATAGTCTTTCTAGGTCAGATAGGGACCAACCGTGTAACAAAAATATATAATAGGGACCATCCGAGTTAAAAATCGTGCCCAGGGACTAACCGTGCAGATTCCCCCAAACCACAGGGACCATTCGTGTAATTTACCATAATATCTTATTTGAGATAGCATGGTAGATGATATATTTACCCTTTTCAATAAGATAAGTGGAAATGATTTTTTACATGATATCAACTAGGGATGAGATTTAAAACCGGAAAATCGGACTGGAACTGGAACCGTTAGAACCGTAATATGTAGAATCGGTCTGTGTTCCGGGTTTAAAGAATGAATTTATCCAGGTTCCGAGTAATTTGGGTTTTGGGTCCTTCGGGTCTAGGTAAATCGTATTTTAAAACCCGAACCATTTTAGGAGTCGGAACAGGTTTCTTTAAAAAGTTTAAAACATGCATATCTCATTCGTTTGAAGTCGGATTGCCATGAGGTTTGTATTACAGAGTATAGTTTATAGTTTGTACATGATTTTATACTATAAGTTTGTCATTTTTGATTTTAGATTCATTGACTTAAAGTCCCCCAAAGTCGGGATATCAAAGCTGTAATTTTTTTTTTGTATTTTAAGAAAAATTTTAAAACATGCATATCTAATTCGTTTGAAGTCGTGTTAGCATGCGATTTTTTTCAATGTGTAGCATAAAGTTTGTGCATGATTTTATACTATAATTTTATTATTTTAGGTTGCATATTCATTGACTTACAGTCCCCCAAAGTAAGGATATCAAAGTTGGAAATTTTCTGTCTTTCAGTATTTTTTTTTGTGTGTTTTGTGAAACTTTAAAACATGTATACCGAATTCGTTTGAATTCGGATTATCATGAGGTTTTTTCCAACGTGTAGTAAAGAGTTTGTACATGATTTTAGACAATAATTTGTTTATTTTTTATTTAATATTCAATGACTTACAGTCCATCCGAAGTCGGGATGTCAAAGTTGGAAATTTTCAATATTCAAGTAGTTACCAAAAATTCTGGTTTTCCCGATTCTGGAATCATTTTACCCGGTTTCACCCGACCCACTTTGATGTTTCAGAGTTTTCTGGCTCTAGACCCACTTTACTCGGTACCTTAGCTGGAACCTGTTCCATTATATTGGTCTGATTTTTGGTCCTACCTAATCCTGTTAACCGATTCCTGGGTTTTCCGGGTCCAGGTCTATCTAGGTCGGTTTTGGACTCATTTTAATCCCTAATATCAACTAGATAGCACTACTAGAAAAAAAAAACATAATTTCTATCAAAACGTCGTCGCTAAAGGATTTGACAGACGAATTTCTTTCGAACTTTCTCACTTTCTTTTATCATAAAAGCCTCGATGGTAATATTTTGTGATGTATTTCCGACGGAATTTTTGATGTATAACCGATGGAATTTTTCGATGGAAATATATTCATGGATCACCAACATAATGTATTCGACCAGGGTTGACTATACTTTTAGAGGGATTACAGAAGGACCGTACTTACCAACGGATCTTTTAGTGACAGATTTCTGACAAAATTTAGTTTTTGCAGCTTTGACTTTCACCGACAGACTTAAGCGATGTGTACACAATAATAAGATAGTCTTGTCAAATGATGAATTGTCAATATTCATCTAGTCAAATGCGTGCAATACAAATACAAACAGTAAGACTTATTATATAATAAAATGCCTAAACTTTCCAGCATTAACCGAAGTTCATGGATGAACTACCTCTATTATAAAAACTGCCTTTAATGACACGCAATGCATGTCATAAAAGGGATAGATGACACGTAAATGTGTGTCAAGTAAGTATCTGTCATAAAGAAAGACGATACACACTTGTGTGTCGTAACCGATGATGTCACACCCCCAAACCGGAACGGCGGAAACGTTCGGGGGCGGAGGACGTCATGCTCAGTATCACAACACATGCATTATAGTAATCAAAGTACAAACAACCATTGCATTAATAATGTATAAGTTTTACATAAGTGTTTAAACATTACATATTCAAACATCAAAAGTAGATATAGCAAAAGACGAAACACGCAGCACGGTACTAGGCTGTCTTCTCAAAGGCTTCGGGAGTGTACCTGTCTACTGGATTCCTGAGAATACAAGTTATTTTGAAAGAGAGGATCAGCATTTAAGCTGGTGAGTTCATAAGTATTAGTTATTGTTGCTTTAGTTTTAAGAAAGTGATTGATTTAGTTCCAGAAAATCCTATATTTTCTACTTTACAACTGAATAGTAGTTTTAATCCCATAAAACCGTTCTGTTTAAGTAATATTGTACTTATAATATAGTTTAACATAATTTTAACTCTCCATAAAATTATAAGAAGAATGTTTTCCATTTTGTTTGTGAAAAGTAGTTTTAATCCCATAAAACCGTTCTGTAAAGTAGTTTTAATCCCATAAAACCGTTCTGTAAAGTAGTTTTAATCCCATAAAACCGTTCTGTTTTGTTTGTTGAAAATGATTTAGTATAGTAGTATTTCTTAAAAATAACTACTGGTGTATGACTACTCTATTATTAAACTGGTTAATTATGGTTAAAATGTGATCAGGTTATAACCATACTGATTGACTAGTGTTTAACACGACGACCTGCTAGCGTCGAAACTAATGTGACATTTGTCACCCCTTCGCTTGCGTGCCGGACTGTAGCTAACAATTGGGATATAGGATTTTCAGTCCCGTATAGATCTATACACACAATGCCTGCTCTCCCCCCAGGAGACTCTGGTTACAAAACGCGACATAGCAAGTATATTACTATGTCGTGAAGTAGTATCTCACATTTTTGGTTTATCTAGTTTTAAGTAAAGAATGAATTTTATCCTTCTCTTAACAAAGTAGTTTAAACCTGGTATACTTATATAGTAAAAATAGATTTCTCGTTTGTTCATAAATTATACCTATTATAATTCATATGTTGTATCTGGTTGGCATGATCTCTCATGAATGTACCCCTTTGCTCAACGTGATACAAAGGTAACAATATTGATGGAAGTAACCTTTTATATTCCTATACGTATTATATATATATTTAAGAAGGAAACAACCTTCGGACAAATAACCCCACCTTAAGCCCACATCCAAACAAGGAAAAGGAAATAAGGCAACTCATCAGTCTTGAGCCCTTTAAGTCTTAATTATATACCTATACATATGTGAACATGATTTTGACAAATATATAAGATAAAGGAGTTTATAAGACATTTTCAAAGAGTTTAACAACATCAAAAGAGTTTGACAGCATCAAAAGAGATTAACAGCATCAAAAGAGTCTACATGACTTTAAAGAGTTTACATGACTTTAAGTCATTTTGGAAGTATTTAGGTAATCCTTTATGGTAAAAATAATAATTC